CCGGGTGGGAATCGGGTGAAAAATGAGGAAATTGGAAGAAATTTGGATGGGAAATGGGGAAATTAAAGGGGTTTGAGAACCGGAAGGGGCGGGGCTTAGGGTCGGGGCGTGGCCGGAAGGGGCGTGGCCGGAAGGGGCGTGGCCTCAAGGGGAAGAAAAAGTCCGGGTTGAAATCGAGCCAGAAATGGGGAAATCAAAGGGGTTTTATAGTTCTGGGGGCGGGGCTTATGGTTTGGGGGCGTGGCCGGAAAGGGGCGTGGCCGGAAGGGGCGGAGCTTCCAGGGGAAAAAAATATCTGGGAGGGAATCGGGTGAAAAATGAGGAAATTGGAAGAAATTCGGATGAGAAATGGGAAAATTAAGGGAAATTAAAAGGGTTTTATAACCGGAAGGGGCGGGGCTTGCGGGTTTGGGGGCGTGGCCTGAGTGGGCGTGGCCGGAAAGGGGCGTGGCCTCGAGTGGGAAAAAATCCGGGTGGAAATTGGGTGAAAAATGAGGAAATCGGAGGAAATTTGGGTGGGAAATGGGGAAATTAAAGGGGTTTGAGAACCGGAAGGGGCGGGGCTTGTGGGTTTTGGGGGCGTGGCCTGAGTGGGCGTGGCCTCAGGGGGTGGGGCCTGATGGGGCGTGGCCTCAAGGGGGAAAAAATTCGGGTGAAAAACGGGAAAATTAAGGGAAATTAAAGGAAATTAAAGGGGTTTTATAAATGAGGGGGGCGGGGCTTGGGGTTTGGGGGCGGGTCTTGAAGGAAGGGGGATTTGGGGGGATTTTTGGGTGGAATTTTGGGGGATTTGGGGACATTTTTGGGTGGAATTTTTGGGTTTTTTCGGGTGGAATTTTGGGGGATTTTAGGTGGAATTTTGGGTTTTTTCGGGTGGAATTTTGGGTGATTTTAGGTGGAATTTTGGGGTTTTTCGGGTGGAATTTTGGGTGATTTTTGGGTGGAATTTTGGGTGATTTTGGGGGATTTTAGGTGGAATTTTGGGGCATTTTCGGGTGGAATTTTTGGGGTTTTTTGGGTGGAATTTTGGGTGATTTTAGGTGGAATTTTGGGGGATTTTAGGTGGACTTTTGGGGGATTTTTGGGTGGAATTTTGGGGCATTTTTGGGTGGAATTTTGGGACTTTGGAGTGGAATTTTGGGGGATTTTAGGTGGAATTTTTGGGGTTTTTTGGTTGGAATTTTGGGTGATTTTGGGTGGAATTTTGGGGGATTTTAGGTGGAATTTTGGGACATTTTTGGGTGGAATTTTGGGTGATTTTGGGGGATTTTTGGGGGGATTTTGGGACATTTTTGGTTGGAATTTTTGGGTTTTTTAGGGTGGAATTTTGGGACATTTTTGGGGGGGATTTTGGGGGATTTTGGGTGGAATTTTGTGGGATTTGGGGACATTTTTGGGTGAAATTTTTGGGATTTTTCGGGGGTTTTTTGGGTGATTTTTGTTTGGATTTTGGGGTTTTTTTGGGGTTCCCGAATTTGGGAGCCCCTCCCCCACCCCGAATTTCTCCCCTTCCCCCCCCAGCTCCGAGTACCTGGCCATCACCTCGGAGAGCAAAGAGAACTGCGGCGGCGTCCAGGTGGCCGAGTGACCACTGAGTGACCCCTGAGTGACCACTGAGTGACCCTGAGTGACCCTGAGTGACCCCTGAGTGACCCCTGAGTGACCCCTGAGTGACCCTGAGTGACCCCTGAGTGACCCCTGAGTGACCCCTGAGTGA